GGTCTGCCTTTGTTCGGCTTAGCCCTCTTGGTTGCGTGGTTTAGTCCCCTCCCAGCTTCTGTGTCCTTCGATGTGACTTTTATGTGGCTCTGTTGGGATCGTTCTAAGGGGAAAGACAAATCGGCCTGCTTGCAGCTCTTAATCTGAGTCGCTTTCCTCCAACCTCTCCGGTGAACTGACCTTCTGGAGTTTTTTCCTTGGCTCCGCTAATGAGCTCTTACTCGAACCTTGAGTTAGTTCTGGCTGCAGACTGATTTTCGCTTTTGCAATATCCGATTTCCGGTAGATTGACGCTTCGGATGTTTTCACTTTCGACCCAGTCTCACACGCTTTCTTTTCCTTTAAGGGTTTCCTGAGTGCCTGGCCGCTTTTTCTACAGAATTTTTCCGAAGATTCTTTTTCTTTGGTGAAGGCGGGTTCTCCTCTTCCTTTTCATCAATGAATTTCTTTTGCAGGAACAGATCACTTCTTCCCTTAGATCAGGATTGAAGTTCCCGGTTGCATTCACAATTTGTCGTATGTCGTTCTTCGCGGCATCTCTGTTTTCTTCGTTCCATCTGGCGTTTGCTTCGAAAAGATCCAAAACAGTTTTTGCTTGTACATCGGACTTGTGTCACTGCTGAGGGCCCCCTTTTGACGATTTTTAAGTTTTCTCTGGACTGATCGATCCTTCTTTTGAGTTGCGACGTTGTCAATGCAAGTTGTTCCAGATGTTGTTTGTGTAAATAATCAGAATTCGTTATAAATTCATCACGTATCATTTCGTTTTCGTTTTTCGGGAGTCCTTCGAAAAGTGCCAGAAACGGAGAATCTTGTATGGTTTTTTGTTTATTCTATCGCAAATCGCAGATTTTTGTGTTGAGGCAGAGTTTGATCGAAGCTATTGTACATCGGACTTGTGTCTCTGCTGAGGGCCCCCTTTTGACGATTTTTAAGTTTTCTCTGGACTGATCGATCCTTCTTTTGAGTTGCGACGTTGTCAATGCAAGTTGTTCCAGATGTTGTTTGTCTAAATAATCAGAATTCGTTATAAATTCATCACGTATCATTTCGTTTTCGTTTTTCGGGAGTCCTTCGAAAAGTGCCAGAAACGGAGAATCTTGTATGGTTTTTTGTTTATTCTATCGCAAATCGCAGATTTTTGTGTTGAGGCAGAGTTTGATCGAGCGTTTCTTTTCTTCTAATAATATTACACCCAGTTTTCGCTTCATCGTTTGTATAGTTCGTTCCACTAGTCCACAACGCCGGTGATCTTCTACAGGGCAGAATTTTTGCTCAATATTTTTTTCCGTTCAATGTGTTTCCCTTAAATCCAGACAATTGATCCAAACGAATCGATTCCGGGATGCCATGTGTATCAATATAAGTTGCAAAAATTTTACCGTAGGCTTTCCACTCGACATTTTTGAAACGTTTACTGATGGAAATTTCGAGGTTTTATGAAAAGCTGATATCAAGTAAATTTTTTCCGTTATGATTTTCTATTGGACCCGCATAATCTAGTTGTTGTTTTGTTCCTGGCTGCTGAAGCAGTGGTAGTGGCTTCGATGCGTTTTTAGGATTTAGATATTTTGCATTCTTACCATATCTGGTACAACTAAGGCACTCTTCCGCGAGATTCACTATGTCCTTGTGCATTGAGGCCTCCACTGGTATCTTGATTTTCCCAGCATCGCTTTCTGTCCCGGGTGTCTTCGGTGGTTTCGTTTTACTACTGCCGGGCGCAAAACTCTGCAGAATGATGTCGTTTGTATCTTCCGTTGTTAGCTCTGCGAGGAAATTTTGGTCGAATAGTTTCCAAAGATTGTCCAGTGAGTCCTCCCCTGAAGTCCTCGAGGTGGTTCGAATGTGCAATTTTTGATTGTACATCATTCTGCAGAGTTTCCTTAGGCTGTGCGGGTGACATACTGATTGGAAATGGATAATTTACTTCCGTGGCCACTTCTAGTTTGCGTGCGCTACTTGGCGGTGTACTTGACGCTCCCCGATTAGTTTCCAGAAGGAGAGGATTCTTTGACTCCCTCTAATGATTTTTCGCGTTCTCTGTAACGTCTCTGACTTCTTCCTCCTCTGACATCTCGTTTGTTTTGTTGAGGGATCAGTTCCACCGCGGATCCATTAAGCTCTTCTCCCTGTCGTCACCTCTCCAACGTCCTTCCTACGATCTGTTTGGGTAGTTGCTCTCGCTCATTTAAAAAAAAACTTATTCGCTAAAGTTGTTTTTTTTTGCTTTGTATTTTTTAAATTGGCTCTGTTCATTTTAGACCGTTTTGGTTGCCATAGCAACAATGAAGGGATGAGTTTTGTACTCCTTTTGTTCTACAAATTTCTAGAAGCTTTTCATTCCGGTTGAGTTGCCAATTGTTTTCTAGCCTACTGCTCATGCAGTCTATAGCTTTGGAAAAGAGTTAAATGTTGCTACTACGATCTTTTCTTCTAATTCAGATTATGGGTATAAATCCTTAAACGAACCTCGTGATAAAAAGTAGACAATCCCCATGTCCTTCCCTGGAATGTGAACTATTTTGAATTGATAGGGCAATAACCTATCTACCCACCAGCTCAACCTGGATTGATACGTTTTGTTTGATTTGTTCCCATCCGGGGCTGATGTTTAGTGGTCAGTGGTAATGATGAATTCTTTTCCTAGTAGATGATGTTTGTATCTGTCAACTGTCCAGACAACCGCGAGTAATTCTATTTCATTTGAAGAGTATTTTTTTCTTGCATACTTAGGTATCTGGATGCGAAAGAGATTGAAGCCCACTCCTCCTCATTTATTTGCTGCTCCAGGGTGGCCCCAATTTCCATTGTGGCATTTAACCCGTTGGGATTTCTAGAATTTTTAGATTTTTTTTGTTTTTTTTTCTTTTAGTAGTGGTCAACATTTTTAGTAGGACTTGCCGCGTTTCGAATATTTTTTATAGAAATTTATACTAAGCAGGAAGGATCTTAATTGTTTTAATGATTCAGGTGGTTTAATGTTTTAAATGGGTTCTGTTCTTGGGAAGTTTGGATTAACCCCCGATTCCGATAGGTTATGGCCCAGCCAAACTACCTCCATTGAAAATTCCAATTTTGTATTTTCGATGCCACTTTTTCATCGTCCAGATTTTTTGGCACTTTTTCCACTAATTTTGCATGCTCTGATTCTTCGCCTTTTGACACAATGAGAATATCGTCCAAAACACAGAAGGTGTTTTTGGCATGGCTTATCGTTCTGTCCATGGCTTTTTGGATCTCGGCGGGCATATCAGCCAATCCATAAAACCCTGTTAGGAACCTTATTGTTCCCGTAGAATTACCCCCCACAAAATTAAAGTTTCACTGGCGGGCTGTATCTGCAGCCAGTTTTAATTGACTAAACGCATATTTCAGATCCAGCACCCGGAAGTAGAGTGTGCCTTCTTTGTTTTCAGTACCAATATGGCTCACTCCATCTATAAGTTCATCAACATTCGGCCCCTGACAGTTTTTTTTTTGAAAAATTGCCTGTTTATCGGTTTTGCATCTAATCGTCCTTTTCAACGGTTTTATTGAATCGTCCTTTTCAACTGTTATTACAATTGGGGCTATGACACAATCACTGATACACTTGTCTAGTTTTGTGATATGGCTTTCCGTCATTAGTTTCTTAATTTCCGCTTCATTTAGCTTATCTTGTATATGGATTGGAATTCTCCTCTCTTTTTTTTGGGCAATAGGGTTACTTGGAATTTGAACTCACAATGTGATGTGATTCTGTGAAATTCCCTGCCTTTCGAACAAAACGTTGAATTTTGTTTAAAATTTTTCGTTCCAAGCCTCACAATGCTTGCAGTGTAGCACGTCAAACCTTCACAATTCCCTTGGAGCTGAATTGTGTTTGGCTGATATCCCCTTGTCCTTGGAGGTCCGAACGCATTGTGCACCTATTTCTGCGTTTCGTTACGAGAAACGTGGCTCCCTCCAAATCCCAGCCTGCTGAGCGTAGATCTGTCTTTAATGCTCCCAGAATAATAATCGGCTGTTTGTTGTAGTCCACAAACTGTGCCTCCAGATTTCACTTTATCTGGCGGTATAAATCTTTGAACTTTCTATGATTTCTTTTGTTGTCGAAAGACATTGGAAAGACATTGTGCTTAGGAAAGACATTGTGCTTCCCGCATCCACGGTTAGTTGTATTATCTCACTCTCAATTCGTACCATAGCCTTGAGTAACTTCACTTTGTTGGATGTTGGGTCTCTAAGGAGATTTTTTTTTTGTATTATCACTTGCTCCCCCTTTATTTGTTGGTCTGTTTCTTTTATTCTCTCCTTGACTACTCTTGAGATTCTTTCTCCATGGTATGTATGACTGCATTGACATGATCTCAAACTCGCTACACGACCAAAATCTTCAATTTTTAGATCGCATTCCTCTTTTCAGAATCCTCCGTTATTTCGCTTACTTGTTGAGATCTGCCCATTTTCGCAAAATGGTTAGGTTTACTGCAGTTCTTGCATGTTTTCCACTTTATTTTGTACTTGAACCCTCAGAGTATCTTGTCGGGGTATGTTTTTCATCTTTGATTAAACAAATTGGGAACGATTTCGTCCTCTATAGTTCCCAACTCAGATCTTGCTGCTTGGGCAGTCAATGCCGCGTGAAATGTCTCTAAAGTCTCTCCTTGTTCCTGCACTATCGTGAAGACTTTTTATCTTTCATATATTACTTCTTCTTCCCTTCCATTCCCAGGGAGAGGAATAGTCCTGATACGAGCTTTTTTTGTACATCGTTGTAATAATTGTTGTCACAAATCCTTGGTCCTTGTGCTCTTATCTCTTCGTATTCGAGTGTCACTCTGTCTCTCGCTAATTTGTGTCTGAGATCTCCGGCTGCTCTTGCAGTTGCTTCCTTGGCATTTCTGGTCTTGGGGTGGTTCTTCCAGTATTTCTTCAAGGTCTTCAAGAATAATTTCTGAACTGACATTTTCCTTGACCGTGACTGCTATTGGAAATTGTTCTAACAAAATTTTAAAATGCCACGGTGGGTGTAGATTCGCTGAAGCCCAGAATACTGGTATTCACATATTAGTACGATTTTACTGAGATGAAAATCCTGCTGGCTGTGCCATGTGATATCCTACGAGGCTAACTTGGTGGAAAACATTTTATAATTCCAAAGAAATAAATTGTTAATCGAGTTAATAGTATTCTCTTTGAGCACAGCTGAGATCTACGTAGGTTAAAGATAGTCTGATCAACTCAGCGGTGTACCAAAGGTTTTAGATACATTGACCTTGGACAATGATATATTATAACTAGAATAGTTCACTGAAGGTTACATCACACGTTACTGCTATTGCAGTAGCAGTATCACAGTGGTCAAATACTCATAGTGTGCTCGACTTTGAAAACCAAAATTTAAAATGAGCACTTCGATCGGGGTAGAACAGTCACCTTTTATAACTTGTCCTTTACATGATGAGATTTGCTTGTGAAATCCACGAATGTTGAAAACTGCTCTCCTCTCTTCTCTAACGTAGATAACGAGATCCCAAATGTTTACTGTTGGAACAAACTTTAAACAACGGGAAAGATCTATGTATATGAACAGTTGGATAATATGTTCGGAAGGAATGCTATAGTAGAAGGATATACCATCTTACGTGAGAAAAAAACATGAAAAAAAAAGAACATTTCATATTTTTTCTTGTAATGAAAACTTAAGTTGCAGCCAGTATGACATGTTACTCATGCACAGTGGAACTTTTGGCCCAATATTTTTACAGTAAAACAGGAGGTTCCATCGCTCACTTTCGCGTAAAGCAAATCTTTCGATAAGTAAAAACCAATAAAACACTGAACCGGCTTGTTTTTTGTAGGAAAAAGTTCATTTTGCAAAGTGTGCACGACTAGGAAAAAGTAAATTTCACAAAGTGCACGACTAGGAAAACGCACACTTTGCAAAGTGCACGATTAAGAAAAAGTACATTTCGCAAATTGCATGACTTAACGCCGTACGTTAATTCACCTCATCTGTGGAGTTCCCTATGCATCAATTGTACTGTCCGTTTTAGATGCTCAGGGTGGCGCCAGACTTTCAGTGTGAAAAGTGGGGAGGAGGAGGAGATATTCAAGATAGTGGGTCCATGTCGCACCGGTCGATGCGTATGCTGTGCATGCAAGGATCACACATTTAATGTGAGTCAAGGTCAAAATCAAGAATATTGCATATATTTGGTTAATACAATATCACAGCTAATGGTCTTCGAAAGCAAACAAGTTTCAAGATATTTGCGGCCCGGGTCGAGGTTCCAGAGTCATGTCCAGATTTTGTGGTCGTGCAGCATCCGCATTCAGTTCCAAATTGCATAATCGCCCCAAGTGCTATGATGAAGTCAGTCTCGGTCTCTTAATCGAAAGATCAGTGACTCGAAGCCCAGTATGATTTTGTTGCTTGACGATTAAGCAGCAATTCCGGTTTCAAGAAAAGAAACAAAATTGCATATTGGGTTTGAACAGGTGCACAACAATTATTCTCAAGAATTAACTGGAGAACTCGTATTCGTTTGCTTGTGGACAAACATTCTGCATACGTGCCAACAGAGTGATGAACTGTCAAAATTTTATAGAGTGAAGACTTTCTCGTACCCCTTTGTCGATACAACATCATCTTACTCTCTAATCACTTATTAGGCCAAAGAGTTGAAAATAGGAAAACATACCCGAAGGATTTAAAACACGTTCATGACTTTTGAGGCGCTCTGTCTGATGGATTATATGGGAGAGATCAAACATATGCAACTGTTCTGTTTGCGTTAGTCACCCGGGTTGAAGTCCCAGTTATACTTATCGATGAAAAAATGCTAACCCACTCTTAGTACGATTTTCATGGATTTTTCCGTGCTTTTTCATAGCTAAATTATTTAGCGCTTATTTATCGAAAAAAAAACTAATAAATTAGCGATAATTCATCGGTGATTTACCAATTCAAAAAATTCAAAAAAAACTGTCCTAAATTAGCGATAAAAAGTTGCTAATTTATCGCTGAAAAACGGCTCTTTTCCAGTTCCCCCCTTTCAAATTTTACTTTGAAAAGCTTATTTAACCTTGTCATAATGCAATGAGATTTGGCGTGGTGAACAAATCAACAACTGTGAACAGATTTGTTCTTCATACTTTACAGCGTAACATCACGCATTTAGCCGTAATAACACGTAAAACAAACATAAAACTCGGTATTTTGAAAGGTGGGGGGGGGACTGGAAAAGAGCCAACGTAATTTTTTGGTACAATTGTAGCTTATTACTCGCTAACAAATAACCCACAAAATAACCATAATAAATTCCAATCGATTTTTTTTCTTCAAATTTTCGATTTGAAAAAAAAGTTTTGTCCCGTGTCTTGTTTTGAGTTGAAATAGTCATTTGAGATTTTATTTCAGGTGTAACACTTTGCTGAGCAAACTATGTTATTTTTCCAGCGCTAAATTAGCAATAATCCATCGATAAAATTTGCTATTGTGGCAATGAACATTGATAATTCATCGATGGCGATCGCTGTTTTTTTTCCACTTTTTTATCGCTAATTTTCAATGTGAGCTCAATCCGGGCATCAAACAAACAATGACAACGCCCTCCCCTAAATATTTTAAGGGTATTGCTCATTTTGTTAGTTTGGGATGAAATTGTTTTATTTTTGTGTATGTGACCCTCGTTCTTAATGTAGATCAACAGTGCTGCTAATGGCGAACAGATAGGTGCTTTGACGAAACAGTTCTCGGAAACGGCTAAGGTGGTTCACACAAACACAGACAACTTCAGTGTATCCTGTTAGTTACTTGGATGCTATTTTACTAAGAAAAACAAGGGGTTCGGTCATATAGCTTCTCTTTTTTTCTTAGTAATTTCAAGTTCGAGTTATAAGCCTCATCTTGCAGGATAAAATTTTTCGACTTGCCTTTATAACATCATGCATATTCAAATGGGTGAATATGTAAATATAAATGAAATTACCATTAATTGGGGGGATTTATGATAGTTATATCAAATTTGAACTAAGAAATTACAGACAAGATTACGTCTCTCAGTCCTGGAAACATTAAAGTTTGCAAGTCCAATTTCTCTAAAAAGTGAAATTTATTCTTTAAAAAATGTAAAAAGTTATCAACTTGACTAAGCGAGCAGAGATGATTTTATGAAGACTTAGACCGGTCTTTTCTGAAGCAAGAATGAGTCAATTTCTCCTCGCGATCAATTTCTTCTCAAAAGTATTACAGTTCTTAGTTTTTTCATTTGAAACTTCTGTTATCTTTCGATTTCCTTTCATACTTTTTATAGGCATTCATTCTTTCTCCTTTTCTTTAGAATTCAAAAATAACATTTCAGCCATTTCTTCTGAGATAACTTGTCGTGTTATCATCATCGGTTACGGACGGCAACCACGTCATCGGTTTTCTCTCGTACTCCTCCTGGCAGTCAAATTTACAATGGAGCCTTTCTTGCTCCTCTATATGCGCAGTTTAGTTAAGCATTGATTTTTTTCTGTGTCTTCCGGAATCCGCAAATTGGGACAATTTGTTTTGGTAAATAGGGTAGTTTTGTTTCCTGGTTACGGATATTCACGTGTCTACACAAATCCACCACTATGAAAACAAAGAGCAAATTATTAAAATTTGAGACAACCAGACAAAATTGATTTTCTCGAAGCCGTTTTTAGTAAACTTAGAAACAACAGTCCTCTAGGCAAAGACTTTATTGATTATGAGAAGATGAGAAAGAGTGGGCTTGACGAGCAGCAAGCACCGAAAAAGCTTCAATACTGTTTCTCAATCTGGTTTAAATAGTTACAATTACTTACAAGATACTTGGCAGAAAAACGGAATGGCTGTGTTCAAAGACTTTTTGCAGTGGTGCAACTACAAGGATGTTGATCCAATTTTGAAAGCCATGCAAATCGTAATTCAGCTTTATAATAACAATGGGATAGATATGTTTAAACTTTGATGTTGGTCTCACTCGAATATTAAAAAATGTACCAATATTTCTGCTCCAAATGATTTTTCTTCAGAAACTGTCACTGAAAATTTTATACAGTGTCAAAATTCTAGATTTTCTCAATCAGAGGTTTATCAAGGATTTTATTGAGGGGGAGGCGAATTTCGCCGACCCTTTTTTTAGGTCGGCTAAATTGGCTTTCAAAGCTCTCCAAAATCATTACAAAAATCCTATTTAGGCAAAAAAATTTACGCCGGAAGCAAATTTTTGAGAAACAAGCCAAAAAGCACTTTTTAGCCACTTTTTGGAAAATTTTGACCAAAAAATCTGTTTTTTTTGGCGCGCGCTCCTCCATCAAAATTATCATTACGAGATCAAATTTGCACTGGATCGACCCACAATTTGGCGTGTATTGATGTCTGGAATCCAGAGACAAGTTTTTAAACATGATAAAGTTTCTCGGAACGATCAAAGAAAACGAAAGAACATAGGCAGATCAATGAGAGCGTCCTTGTTGTTAAATCCGCATGCAGTTCACAAAAGACACAGTTTGGCCTCATAAAAATAAAAATTATGTATAGGCATCATAAACAAACTTAAGGGTCGGTCAGCCAAAAAAGGATGTTTGAAAACCCCCTGGGGACCCAAAAACGGTTTCGACCCCCTGGGTACGCTTTGGGTTCGGCTTAGGACCAAATCCTTGAAAGGGACAGGAGCGTCGTCCCCCGAAACCGGATTTATAAAGTTTGAGGGTTTTAATATTACATGTTGGAGATAATGAAATCGCCCGAGCATCCATCTTTCTTCTTACGCTGCGAACTAATCCAACCCGGAACTTCCAAAGCTGAATTATCTGCCCTGATACGAGTGACATATTATGACGTTGAACTCAATGCATCAAAGTCTTCCGGTTGTACAAATTCCGTCAGAGAAATGATTTACAATGTATTCACTTCTTTACAGTTGATTTTTCTACACTGTGACCAACCAAAGCCCCCTCCTTGGTTCTATATTAGGCTATATACTTTTTGCTGATTGACCCCAAAGATGCCTTTGGCAGTAATGTATACAAGTTTTGGGGGAAGCGCACGCAAAAAAACGCCAGCTTTCCAAAAATTGCCTCAAAGGTCTTTTTTGCCTGTTGCATAAAAATAAGTTTGATCGACCTAGGAACAAAAATTTCGACAGAGTTTTCAGAAAAAAAAAATACTTCTCCTCTCCCTCAAGAAATTTTGATCCGTCCCGGGAAATAATGACATCAAGATTATTAAAAATGCTGAATTTTTTGTTGTTTCAGTTCCCAAGGATTTGCACGTACGAGCCAAGGCCTTAGTACTGAGCTCAGTGTTTCTCATTGTAAGTTCATAGATGATTTTATTTTAAAAAATTTAAAGGCATCCCTGCGTTTTCTTGGTTCTGAAAAATAACAAATGTTTTTTTTTGATATTTTTGAGGAACAAGACCCTATGAAAAAGTTGAAAATGTTTTTGAAAAATACTAGTTTCTGTACACGCAGCTCTCAGAAGACAGATTATCCGATGAACACATTTTAAATTGTTTAATCTTGGCTTTCGGTTCTACAATTGATGCAGCGGCGAAATTAATTTTTTGTTCCTGTTTAAAAAAAAACATGCAACTGTTTATAGAACAACTTCATGATACTTATGAAAAAAAAAGAAACCCAGATTTGAAAAAAATGTCCTTCTTAGAATTATTGTGACTTTTTCATTTTTTTTTCCTTCTGATAAGTTACTGAATCCTGGCGATTCTTAAGTTCATTGAGGGAATTCCGAGATCCGGGTACTTTTGCAACAAGCAGACATTGACAAGAAATGAAATTACAGTTTTTAACACAGTAAGCGGAATAATTTTGAAAAATCTGCCCGGATTTCTAGAAATTTAAACGTTATTGGCCTTCTTTGGAGAAGCTAACATTTTTTTGGAACAAAAAGTGTTCAAGTCTCTGAATATGCCACTTTCAGCAGACAATTTGAAATAAGAACTAATTCGACATTTGGAATTGTTTCAGGATTTTCTATTTTACGAGTTCAATGCAGCTAAAGAATGCTGTATCTGGTGCAATTGTGTAATCGAGTGTATTGGAGTCTTGGGAGACTTCAATTGAAGAGACCGCAAATTATAACTGCTATAAATTTTGATAAACTATTTAGCGCCAAGAAAAAGATTATTTTGAAATGAGCCACAAAAAAACTCACCGCATAATCCTTGAGGTTTTATAAGGATAACAAGCAGGCGCGGATCTAAGAATTTCTCGAGGGTGTAATCTTTAGATGCGGTCATTCCACTCAATGCGTTTTCTCAACCAGAATAGATGAGTTATTGGAGATGCGAGAGGAGAGGTGGGCTTGTAAGACTAGGAGGCAAAAAAACCCAATCACTTTGTCTCGACATTGAGTTAATTTATCGAAATATGTTTTTTGAATCGGAATCACGACAAAAAGGGCACAAAAATGATATCACGCTTATCCTCACTTGGGGAAATTAAGCTTCACGATCTTTCGAGATAGGAATGAACGACAAGAATTAGCATTTATTGTACAAGCTGAGCACAAAATTCCGATTTGATTTATTTCTGAAAAAAACTCAACTTCTTTTGATCTAGGTTTCTCAGAAAATCACCATTGACTTTGTTTGACTAAGAATACATTTGTATTATGAAGAAAAAACAAAGTTTTCACACAAAAAAAAACATTAAAATAAAAGGCGTTTTCAAATGTCTTTTTTTGAATTAAGTTTTTTGACTTATGTCACCGGTAAAATGAGGCTTAAAAACTAGTCAAAAACTACAATTATTTGAGAAAAAAATCAAAAAACTAAAAAAATTAGCCTTATTGCTGTACGAGTAGTGCAGAATGGAGATTCTGCCTTATTATGTATTATTGCAAAAAAAAAAGAAATAAGAAACTTGCAGTTTTTATCAAATGAATCAACGCAAAAAAAAATATTCTTATATGCGCAAAATATATCTATAAACGTTCGTCACATACAAACTGTAGAAATTTCAGGATTGAACCAATGGCGTTTCACCGATTGGAAAAATTTGAAAAATTTGAAACAAACACCGATCATGGTTTAATAAAACGGTTCCAAAAAAGTAAATTTTCAGATTTTTTTGAAGATTGTCGTCATGTCTAAACTTTTTTGTAGCTAGTTTTTTTTGCCTAATCACTGATCATAAACTTTAGGCAGGCGAAGGTAGATTAAAAACACGAGAGTAGAGATTGTGTTAATGCATCTTTTTTTTAACAAACTAAAAACTTCATTTGTAACTGTGTGTTCTTTTATTTTGATTACCAACATCCAAATGCTACTTTCTTTATCAAATTTTAGGCTTTTTTACAAGAAGTAAGATGCTGTAAATTTGCATCAAAACCAGCGAAGTACTAGAAAATTAGCTAACTAGGCTAAGGAAGGCAAATCAAATAATAAAAAAATGTATTTATTTCAAAACAAAAAAACAGTGAACTTAAAAAGTGAAATTTGTCCTGTGAAATACTATTGCTTCAATATTTTCATTTTAATCTTACTCATTTGTCAAATGAAGAGCGCAATATTACGCTGAAACAGAAAATGTTGGAAAATTTTACACAAGTGGACAAAATTAAGCGCAAATTCAGGATTTTACATTGTAAAATGCCTGTTTTCAGAGTGCATTTTAGACAACATTTCCTTTCAAAGTCAGTAAAATTTTTGCATAGACCAAGAGCAAATAATCAGAGCTACTATCGGTGAATGTTTGGTTTTATTTACTTACCACTGTAATCCGGGACTAAAAATGCCATTTTTCTTCATCTCAACTAATTTTTGCATTGTTGTGAAATCTTTCTTGAATAAGCGGAGTAAAGATTTGCTCATGCAACTTGAAGCATTTTCAGCGAGAAAAAGGAATCAATCAGTGTGAAACTTTTACTAAACTCAGACGTTTGTTACTTTTTCACGCGAAGTAGAAAATTTATTTCAGAGGAGCAAAACTGGCATTTTCAGACCCGGATTACAGTGATAAGTCAATGAAATCAAATATCGTTGTTTTTACTGATGGTAGCTCGGATCATTTGCTCTTGGTTTATGTAGAAATTTTACTGAATATAAAAGGAAATATTGACTACAAGGCCTTCTGAAAACAGGCTTTTCACAGGGAGAGCCAATACGCTTACGAAATAATTCTGGATTTTTGTTTAAAAAAACTATATATTATGAAAAAATTGGATATATTGATTGATTTTTCTAACATCGCATAAACCAGTATACACTAAATCTATTGAGACTTAGAGATATAAGAGTAAGATTAAGATCGGTATTAGACTAAGAAGTTGCACGAATCTATCCGGCCGAAAATGTATCATCCGAAATTACGACCCCATAAGTAAAATGTATATTTTCTGCCCACTAACCAGACTTTCAACGTTGATGAATCTCGCCCACTCATTGTCCCCCACGAATATATACATCCCGTCGAAGTCCCAACCCTAGAATATATTCACAACACTAATTATAACCATAAGCTTTATAGTCTAGTCCAAAATAGACCGCGCGAATTCTCATCAAGTAGTGAAGAGCAAACTATCATCAAAGCACTTGAACTCCGATGGCCTATCCTACAAACTAAATACATCACCTGCTTGCTTGCTAAACTCCTAACATCATCGGACACTATTCACAAAATTTTCCCAAATGAATTTTTTGCCGACGAAGACCCTTAGTAAGTATAATTAAGTCTTTTTAACTGATAAATTCCAAACACAACTAACCATTCTGTCTAAATGTTTCTATTTTTTTAGATTTTATCATTCAATCACCTAAAACAAAAAGAAATAAGTAAAAAATTGAAAACTCTTTTCTAGCAATTTTAAATTCATTTTAGCAAATTGCATTATATAATCACAAGCAGTAAGATTTACCTCCAAAAAGCAGTAAATTCACAAGATTAACCCTCCAAAGCAGTAAAATTCCCTCTTACCAAGCAGTAAATTCATAAAATAAAACTCCCAAAAGCAATTAAAATAACATTTCGATGCGATAACATTTCAATGCAGTAAACTCATAAAAAAAATTAAAGATTCCTTTATAAATCTGAATCACTCACTCACCCATAAATCACACACTCTTTCCGCAATCGCCTAGCTCGCCCACGAAGAATTGCTTAAATAATGAGTTTTAATTTTCAGTTTTCACTGATAACAACTCTAACTAGTTTTGACACGTTTCAAACTTTCCGTTAACCCGGTTGGAAAGAATTATATAGTAAATTGAATTAACCCACGCAGCTTACTATCGACACAAAACCACAAACTAATAGCATGACTAAGAAAGAAAAACTCACGGTACACAAACCAGATTAAAACTGGATAAATTATTCATTTGAAAACCACTTTTAAGTTTTACCACAATCAAATAAAACACAAAAAAGTCGAGAGACAAACCCAAACCAAAAGATTCTCTTTTTGAGAAAAGGACACAACCAAAACAAAAAAAAAAGAGAAAAACAAGGAAGAAAATTGAAACAAAGGTTTGAGCACAAAAAGAGACTCTGCATAAAGAGACCATAGAAGTATACACCACTCCTGGCCTCACCAACCAGAGGGATGTCCTGAGCATGCTCTATAGCCGGCGTAACTAACCGCGCTACAACCACGCTTTGTGACTCACACCCTATTTTTGCCAAGAGTTGCTCTAGTGTGAGCGACTTTTAGGAAATAACCGAACTAAATTAAAACGCTTTTGCGATAACAATTAACAACAAATTTTAACTAAAACTTAATTAACAAAAAGTAATTAGATATGTAAACGATGAAAGCAGTATGTAAAGATGTCTTAGAGCCCAAGGAACGAGCAGCTAAGGAGATGACAACCCAACTACATTCCATTTCGGAATGGCAAATCTATTCGATTTGCTGACTAATGTCACTACGCTCAAAGGATTCAAAGCATGGACTCAACATCGAAGCAAAGGAAAACCATTGAACCAGACCAATGACCATCTCGATGTTGGCTACACGTACCGATCCTAGTCATTTGGCACTTCACACGGAAAAGTCAAACTTCACCCTACACGTAGTCTCGCTCTAAACTTAACGAAATCGATACATCATTGCATTGATCAAAGTCTTCAAAAACACAATCACCCAAGAATACCACAATCAACGAGACCCATTTTGAAACACGAACATAAAAATCTTCCTCCGTCAAACACAAACAGCCACACTTCTCCGTTCTCCAAGAAGTCAATGCTCGCAACTTCAAAAAGAAACTACTTCACGCGTCCTTCTCTACATCAAAGAATTAAAAACTAAAAACTCTCTAAACCCCGGATGGGTGGAACCAGTTCTAAACTAGTATTTATAGACCAATTATATATATGATGGAATGTCATATATAAAATAATTATAACTAACCAAACATATTCCATCTCTAACATTTACACTTCTTTGTAAGTGCTGAAACTACTTGTAGTTTCAGCACCAGAACAATTTAAATAAAACTTTGAGTACAGTTGTTCTCCTTCTGGATAAACTCCAAGAACTAACATAAACCAGTATACACTAGATCTATTGAGACTAGGAGATGTAAGAGTAAGATTAAGATCGGTATTAGACTAAGAAGTTGCACGAATCTATCCGGCCGAAATTAAGATAGCGTGACGAGCAGACGGTGCACCTTATCTGAAATAACTCTATGAGTATAACCAAAAGGTCATAACTCAAAAGGGATTTTCGTTGCTATCAGCACAGTAATTGGCTATCCTCCCTGATATATTGTTCTTTTAGGTTAAGCGGTATCCCCATTTTTCATTAACTAAAGAAGTATGACAACTTTTGCTTAAGTAAGTGTTTCACTCTTTATCAAACATATATCTGTGAACGAAATCTTTCATTTCCTGAAAAACCTTAAATATAATTTTTTTGCTGTAATTACACATAGTGCATCTAGATCGAAGTGAAAAGGTTGATCAAATTCTTCAATTATCAAATGATAAGGCTGAAAGTCATCGTTATCACAATTGGTGTTGCTCTACCCAACTTTGTCCTTGGGAGAAGTGTCAAAAATGTATTCTTGCAAGAACACAATAGGCATCGCAACAATGCAGGTCTGAAGCACCTCTACTGG